GAAAAACCTTGAGCTAATAAAACTCCCGAGGTTATGACATACTGTTATATCTGACCTATATATTATCTCTATATATTGTTATATTGTAATCAGACCCAACTCAAGAGCTGGTAAATCCTCTGTAATTGTCATTCTACCCTCTGCTGAGCCCCTGCCCAGGGCGAGAAGGGAAACTGTTCTGAGCTCTGGAGAAGATCGCTGTCAGCCCCAGCCTCTGCGTCTGGGCCCCAAATGCTGGCAGAGGTGGAAAGGGAGGCTGGGGGAAGCCTGGATCTCCCACTGGGGAGCTGAGAGCCCCGCCGGTGGCCGCGGTACTGGGGGGTGGCAGAGGAGCCCCAAGCCCGGTTCGTGCGGAAGCAGCAGCCACCTGGCTTGGTAGACCAGCGCCGCAAGCCCAGTGTTTGCGGCTGCGCGCCTCCAGGTCCCGATCTTTTCCTGAGCGGAATACCGGCGGCACCGGGCTGTGGACGCTGGGGCGGTAAGGGGCCACCAAAGATGGGGAAGAGGCCTGAGTCGGCTTGTTGTAGAGCAAATGTATGCGACATTTCTCCCGTGACTGTTGGCTAGAGTTGAAAAGCTAGTGTGTGTGTTTTGGGGGGGAGGGTTAGTTACTGGATACAACCCGCTCCGGTTTCTCCCCAAGCGGAAAGGAGCCAGCCAGGCGCCAAGGCAGAGGCTCAGGCCCCAGTCCGCGGAGTCCTGCTCTCTGGGGGGGCTTCTCAGAGTCTTAACACTTCCAAGCCTTCCTTGGCTTGGGAGAGAAGCGAGGGAGCCTTAAAAGAACATTTAAAAGGTCCCCCAAACTTTGTAAATTCAACCCACAAAAGGCTTTGGCCCTTTTTCGCGGGCCTCACCGAGGTTCTCTGAGAGGCTGCCCTCGGTCCAGTAGCCCAGGGGTCCTGTGCCCAGTTGGCAGGGAACACAGGTTGAGGATGGAGGCTGTTGTTGATGGTGTTGGGAGGATGTCAAGGGCCCTGGGGCTGCACTTTCTCTGGGGCGCAGAGGGAGGCGTTTAGGCACCAGCCGGCCAATGAGGCTGGTGCAGTTCATTTTTTTAGGCTGACAATTTTGAAAGTCCCTATTACTAGTATTCATATCCCTGCTATGAATGGAAGCCCCTTGGTCATCTCATTCTCCCCAGGGGCATGAAACCTCACTAGGAGCGGCAGGCGGTTCAGACCTTGAAGTTCGGCTCCTTCCAAAGTCCCCAGGGAGGACCGCAAGCACCGCAGCATGCAGCAGACAGCTGCCAGGGTGCCCCCCCCCCCGCCACGAGCTGAGCATGCAGTGGGTCAGAGGGGTTACAACCGCCTCTCTGGTCCCAGCTCTCCAGCCCCAAGAAGTCACCCTTCCAGGGTCCCTCCCATCTGCTCCAAGGTTGCTGATTTTCCTTCGGGTTTTTCTTTCTGGCTCCTTCGGTCTGCCCGAGCCCAAGCTCCATCAGAGCAGGGGTAACACCCGCGGGGTGGGGAAGTTGTCCCACCTCGGAAAGGCTCTTTCAGAACCTGCATGCCTTTTTCCTGAGGAAGCTGTGAGGAGAGCCAGGAATTCGGGAACCCTGGCCCCCAGTACACAGCTGGAAGGGAGACCTGGAGGGAAGCAGCTCCCATAGGAAACTACAGACTGAGAGTCCCGCTGCCCTAATCGAGGGGCGCTGTCCTCCCGCCTCCCAAGAATCCCGTATTAACTTTGGCGGCAGTGCGCAGGCAGGGTAAGAGGGCCTCACAGCATCTGGCCCCGTTTCTCCCGGGGTTTCGCCGGAAGTGGAGGAGAACGCAGCCGAGTTGGGCCCTGTCCTGCCTCAGGACCTGCCCGGTCCCCACACAGCCGTTGAGAGTGAGGAAAGCCGGGCCCCGGGGATCCTGGGTGAGCCCAGATCCCCCCTCCAAAGTCCTGCCGTGTCAGGGTCAGTGTCAGGCAAGCCAGCCAGACCTGGCAGACCAGGGCCGAGGACTCTTGGGGTGGCGAGGATGAGGAGCGGGGGGCTGGCAGCTCCAGCCTCTTCCTCTGAGTCCCGACAGTTAGTTGGAAGGAAAAGAAAAGTCAACTATTTGCAGGGCAGGTGCGACTGGAAGCGGCTTCGGCACGGAAGCGATAACACTGTGTAGTGGTGACACCGGCCGCGCCGGAACTCGTCACCCTCTGGGGCAGGGGAGGGACCTGGGAGCCCCCTCCGGCGCCCCGTCCGGGGAGACCTTCCGTTACACGCCGGCGCCTTGAGGCCTCCCTGAGCCCCGGGCCCCTTCTCTTTGTAAGGAGAGCATCTCCTTCCGCAAACCGACTCGCTGGGAGCAGCGCGAGGAGAGCCCTTCAAACACTTCTGTTTGCTCAAAAATGAACTAGCATCGCAGTCGCCTCTCTCAGCTGCCTGGCTACGAGGGTGAGTGGTCATCCTCGGCCTTGCGGTGAGCCCCCCACCTCACCCCTAACCCAGACGAGGCAGCTGGACAACTTGGCAAGCTTGGGTGCACCTACTCGGTGCCCTTGAGATGGCCTGGCTTTCTTTAATGAAGCCTCCGGGGAGCGGGCTCAAGGCGAGAAGGATCCCAGGGCTCTGAAGGTGGGCTCAGGCCGGGTCGGCAGCATCCCGAAGCCCTGCTCAACTCCTTCAACGTGCACTGCCGGGAGCCCTGGGCGGGTGGACCCCTTGCTGGAGGAGGATTGGAGCCTTGAGCTCTGCCAGGCCTAGGCTGGCAGGGAGCGCGTGGGCTCCTGGACTTCAGGGTATAGGGAAGGACGGGGTTTAAGCTCCCAGGAGGAGCTTTCCACTGGAGAAGATGCTCCAAATTGGACCGGAGAAGCTCTTTTGTTTAGGATAGCCTTGTTAGCTCCCTGCACGGTTTAGTGGTTCAGTCCGACTCTGGGTTATCCCTAGCGGCAGGGGACGCGAACTGGGAGAGAGTCCTGGGGAGCGCTTGGAGGTCAGGGCAGTCGGGTCGAGAGCAGGTGAGGACAAAGGGGGCGGGGAGCCAGGCTTACCTGCCCACTGGCCTTTCCACGCGTGAGCCTTTGTAGACTTCATCCACGGGAAAGGCAGCTGGAAGCGGCTCGGCTCCTCCAGGGCACCTGATTCGGCTCCATCCGGGAAGGGCCCGGAGGGCGGATGGGGGAGCGAGAGCTGAGCCGGGAGGTGGTGGTGGACGTGCGCCACCTCGGGGTCGTCGGCGAGCGGGGGCACCTCGTACGGGGAGATGTCTGGGGGGCTGCCCTGCTCCAGTGCGCCCAGGGCGCCGGGGAACGGAGGCAGCGGCGGCGGGGGCTGGCGGCCCATATACAGACACGCAGGGGGGCTGGCGCTGAACTCCGGCGCCGGGCCCCGCTGGAATGCGCAAGGGTCCTTGTACAGCTGTGTGGCCGCGTAGTACTGCTCCTCGCCATTCATGATTGCCTCCCGGGCTTGGCGACCCGGAGTAGGTTGCTGGAGCCGGGGTCTTGGAGCTGTGCAGCGCTCCCGCTCCCGGCGCCACCCCTTCTGCTTTGACAGCTCGGCACCGCTCGCAGAGGGAACCCGCTGCCGGCGGGGACGGGTGGGCAGCCTCAGCGCCATAGGCTCCCCTGTGCCCCACGTGGCTCAGCCTGAGGCCATTATTGGCCTGGCTGACTGCTTAAGAAGCCAGGCCCAGGTACCCAGGAGCACCTGAATGTATCAGTTTTCTCTCTGAGCTGAGTTTACCGCACACACCTGTATGTGTAGTTGGCAGTACTCTCCAGAGTAAGGCACACATGAAAATAATAGACCTTAGTTCATTTACAGAAACATTTTCATCGTACTTTGATCTATTTTCCTTGTATGTTTGATGACGTACATAGTTCATTAATATAAATTATAAATATACATATGTTGAGGTTGTACACTTAAGTATTTTTTTTAAACTGTTAGGGAATACGGTCAAAAAAGTTTGCAGACCCCAGGTCTACGGGTCGGAAGCAGCTGGTTCTATTTTATTTATGAGATTTGTACACAACCACGAGTGATGTCAGTGATCTAACACATGAAGATCCAGCATTCCTAGTATGTTTTTGTCTGTGGCTGTGCTCCGGGGATTTCTGGAGTGCAAACTATAACTTCAGAAGCATTCACAGTGGCTTTTAAATTTCTTCTTCAAATAGGAAGTCATTAATTCTGATTTTGGGGAAATTGGGGCTTATTTGGCCAACTCAGAATGCAGTTTCATAATGTGGCAACGGGGAAAAGAAGTGGCGTCCCCTCTGTGGCTGAGAGGCGGGGGCGGGGGTTGGGTTCCAGAGCCTAGACGGCTCCCTGAGGACCCTGAGACTTCTGCGGAGACGTCAGCTGCAGAAGTCTACTCCTGCGTCCGACTGAAACAAGGCAGGACAGGGAGAGGAGGAGAGTGTTCAAAAAAGAAGTTAAAGCGCAGTGTTCTGATGACAAGTCAGTGTTTGGCTTCCACTGGTTCGGTAACTTCTGAGCACTCTGGGGTCCTCACTAAATAGATTTTTTCGGACCCAATGGTGCAGACAGAGTACCTCCGGGTCGCGGTGGCACCTAACCCCTGGCATGACCTTCGCCGCCGACCGGTTTGCCCTGAGCATCCTGTCCAAATGACCACAATCCAAGAACCGCCACGAAGGTTTTAGAAAAACTGCACACCTTTGCAGGAAAGCCTTAGAGGGAGCGTGAACCACAAGGAGCCAACAAGAGAAGAATCACTGCACTGACTTTCCTAAACTACAGACTACTAGCAGCCCTTTAGGAGGCAGCTTTTTAATGTATTTTCTCCTGATGGAAACATCCGTATGCGTAAGGATTGAGTGTGCTACTTTGAAATACGCCTCATTTTCATTAGAAAGCGGAAGCCCGTTGGGAGTCTGGACTTCTCTGCAGATTCCTTCTTTGAGATGCTGGTGGCGTGTTAACATCAGTGATCGGATGAGCGCTGGGCATCGGGTGGTCCGGATGGTCCGCACGAGGGTGAGAACGCGTGTTGCTCTGGGGCTCGTCCGAGCAACGGGTCTCCCCCAAGGGCAGACTGAGAGAGGCTGGTTGGTGGGGGAGTTTCGGCGATTTCTTCAGGGAAAAGGGCCACCTGCAGTCCCATGGGGCAAGGGAGCAAAAGACTGTGGGACCAGCGCACCTAATCTCTCTGCGCCCGCGTCAATGAGTCCATTGTTCGCGGCGTCCGCGGAGGACCCGGCGTTATCACCCGGCCGCGAGTGACCACATCGATCATAAGGGCAGGGCCAGAGGAGGTTGCCCGGCCGCGGCGTGTTGACCCTCTGAGATAATCTGCCGAGTCGCCACGGGTTGACTTGGCGACCCGGTTATGAGCGGGCGGCAGCTCCGCTCAGGACAAAGATCGGCCACCTTTCCCCTCCTCCTCTTTCTTCTCCTTCTCCCTTCGCCCCCTCGGCTGCCCCTCTACTCGGGACGCGGCTGCGGCCCCCTCCTCCCCCCACCCACTCCCGACCTCGCCCGCCCCCCACCCCGACCCAGAGTGTTTGCTTTGCACTTCTGGTCTAATTGCGTGTTTCGTAAATTGGTCTCCATTTCGATGCTTCATTTGCTCCCATTTAATATTTTTGCTCGGCCCTGCAGAAAGAAAAGAGGCGCTCAGCAGAAAGCGAATCCGCCTGGGCTCTCGCTGGAAAAATCCGGGGACCCCCAGCTGAACAACAACAACAAAAAAAATGGGGGGCACGCGGGGGCGAGGGGCACTGAAGGTGTTTCCCCTAGGCCCTCCCACCCTCACAGTAGCTTATTAGTAGCTGCTGGCTACCTAAAGGAGCGACCCAGGAAGCTAAAGTCAAACAGCCATTTGTTACTGCTATTAGGTGGGACAAAGGTAACAGGATTTTTGGATTGGCTAATTATATTGTATATACATATAAAAGACGCACCCAGCAGAACCTGCCACTGGGCAAGATCGTGGGTTGTGTTTCTTCTGTGGATGTAGCTCAGGGTATCATAAAAGCGCCAAGTCCATTACAGGTGAAATGCGTTTCCGCTCTGAATCCCCGCTGACGCCTGCGCCCCTCTCGCCTCCCACAGGCCCGGGAGCGATACCGAGCCATTAGGCGAGCGCCTTGCCGAGCCATTTAACAGCAGCTCTTATGGATAAACAAACAAAAAAGGCTGTAAACCAATTATAGTGTGGACAGTGAAAAAGTCGTTTATTAGCGGGACGTCCTGATGGCCCTCGCTGATATTGGAGGCCCTGGCCTGCCCTCTTCCCCCTTCCCTTCCCGAGATGCAGTTTGTACCTGGAAAACACAGAATTACCTTGTTTTTGGTAAATGGCTGAGTCTGCCTTGGTGGTTTCCCAAGCATGCCAAGGGCTGAATTTGGCTTGGCAGTAAGAATTTTTAAGCCATTGTATCCCATTAAAGGAAAACAGTACATGAACATCACTTAACTCCATGGATGTGTTTGTGGTGAATTTGTGTGGAGCTTAGTTTATTAGAGTATATATTTTTTATAATTAATTTGCTCTCAAAATTAAATTATACTCTGGGTTGAAGCAGTAAAGCGAATGATGTGATGTAAATAATGAGAATTTTTTTCCATAATGTGCTTTGAATTTTGGTAGGTTACCTTTCCTTTCAGGGGCACTTACATGCAGGCGGTTTTTATTCCCCCAGGGAATCCTTCCTTCCTACTCTGGGATTTCCTTAGAGTCTGGTATCCAGGTCTGACAGGGGCCAGGAAAGATCTAACTCATTCAGGAAAAAGGACCTCAGACTTTGAATCAAAGGCTTGCCATTGATTCCTAGGGGGAAAAAAATCAAGCAGAAATAAGTGGAGAGTTGAAATTATTTTCCAGATAGTTAAGCACTCCTCCCAGTCATATAGATAAATACAGCCTAAGAATCTAATTTAATTGGATAATTGTCTTGTCCTCTACCTCACTGGCTCTTTCTACCATAAGAGAAATGTGGAAGGGGCAATATAGGAGACTGCACCCCAGGACTGGGTTTAGTGCTTTCTCCCCGGGAGTGGACCCCCACCCTCCAAGACACCAGCCCTTTCCTCCTGTTTTTGTTTAATCTTTCTGAGGCCCTCAGTTTACTTTGCAGCTGAAAGGAAAAGTGTGAACGGAAGTTGAGACTCCAAAGGATCTAAGTGTGCCCCTCCTCCAGCACCCCCGCGGCCACCCTTGCAGCCCTCGGCTCATCCCTGTGGCTCTGTTCTGTCATCCAGATACGCAGTGGCTAGAAACCCCGGGCCTCATCGCTTCCCTTCTCATCGCAGTCCTGGATAACCAGCTTCTTGTTTCCATTGAGATTTCCCTTTCTTCGCACCCCCTCCACCACCGTTTCCTGTGACTAATCCTTTGTTCTCCTGGGAACCTTTCCTTACCTCCAGATTCCTGCTGGAGCCCAAAAAAGCCTTTCCCCTCACTTTAGGGTTACTCCTGCCGCCTTCGTGAACCAACCTGCATTTCACATGATTTATTGGTTAGAAGAAGGAATATTTTCAATAATATTTAGTGATCCAACACATATATAGCCTTTACTGTGTGCCTGTCTGCAATCTCTTTGAGTGACAAAAACTCAGTAGTAGAAAGATGTCTTGGCCTTGGTGTATGACAGAGGTCTTAGGAGCTGCTTATACCTGTCTTCCAAATCTGCCCTGTACAAGCTGTGTCCCCTGGCAAGTCATGCAGCTCCACAAGACCTCTGTCCTTACTGTAAAATGAAAACAGTAATACTCCTCCATAAGGTATACCCGAGGCGTGGAGTGATAATAACGGCAGACACGTGGAGCCAGGCACTGTTTCGAGTACTTTACAGATGTCAGTCCTCACTGAGATCCCACGTGGTGGATACTGTCATTCCCATTTTGCTGTACAGGAAACTGAGGCATAGAGGTGTTGCTTAACTTGCCTGGAATCACACAGCCAGTAAGTGGCAGCACCTAGGTCCGGGCTGAGGAGGTCTGGCTTTAGAGCTCATTCTCTTGCCCACGACATTATACTGTCTTGCTGTGTGGCAGCAAAGAATATTTTAAATTTATTTTTGTGAGATTTCAGCATGTCTAATGTTCCTGGCACTATGTAGGCACTCAGTAGATGGTCATCTCTTCCTTTCTCCACTGGCATTACTTTAAATGCACCTGCAAGCATTTGATGGTTGGTCATTACAGCATCCCAAAGCATTGCAGAGCTGTTTCCACAAGCCCAGGTCTAACGACCTCCCCAGACAGGTAGGCCTGGAAAGGTATGGTCAGGAACACTGAGAGGTAGCTCGAAGTGTGTATATCCTGTGCTTTAGGGGAATATGCCCCCAAGTGGAGCTTTGCTTAAAGGGCTAGGGGAGGAGGGAGAGCGGGGTGGCACCCACCCCAGCCAGCATCAGCACACCATGGAGAGAGAAACAGTGGCGGGGGAGAGGCAGGGGCTGCTTCTCTACATCCAGCAAAGCCTGAAAGAATGACTTGAAGGGGTGAGCTGATCACACCCCTACTGGGATGAACTCCCCGCAGATGAGGACAGCAGCATCTGAGAGTGTCTGGC